AAAAAGTAACAAAGTAACGCATTACTTTTTTAATTTACAAGAAAATTTCTGAGTTACTTTCTCAAAAAAGTAATGCCAGTTTCCCATTTACCCATTTATTAACTGACAGCTCTCCTATCCCCATATTGGGAGAAATCGGGAGTACAGATGCGTTGTGTGCGCTGTGTGAACATGATGTTACTGTAGTTCTAGACTAAATGTGAATGTGCATTAATTCATCCCACTCACAAAAAACAGATTTAGTATTCATCAAAATGAATTAAAACAGTGAAATGCAAACTCAGAATATGACGCAAACCTGCAATAATTAAATATGTTAACACAAATGTATCTAATCCCATTTTATTAACCAATATCTTTGCTGCTGACCTTTGATGATCCAGTTCAACCATACTAATAAGCAAAAATGACTTTAGAGAAACTAACAATTGTGCTTTGTTTTTTTATTGCTGAAGAGTGTTTCTTCTCCTGCGTTCTACTGTACAGATGTGAATTTACTTTTGCTTCAGCCTGAGGTTTATTCATTACACTTTTTGGTGTGAAAGGGCTTTTATATTTGCTATAAATAGAACTTCTTATATTAAAAACAATCAAGCCCTGCTTATATTTAAAAAATAACGCAAAAGTAATGTAATGCATTACTTTCCATAAAAAGTAACTAAGTAACGTAATTAGTTACTTTTTAGGGAGTAACGCAATATTGTAATGCATTACTTTTAAAAGTAACTTTCCCCAACACTGCTTTTCTCCAATGCAACTTGTTCTCAAAACATTTAACACAGCAATCCAAACACTTCAACTTTACTGCAAAATGAAGCACTGCAATTTTTTCTAGTAATGCAATTATTAAAGTTAAATATTAACATCAAATCTCTAGGTGTTTTCTCTATTGATTATAAAACAAGTTTTTATTGCAATTCTTCAACAGGGAGTTTTGTTTTATATGTATTGTGTATATCTAAACGAAATAAAAATTGTTATCCAACACCTGCTATCACCCATGAGAAAAAACTAATTGCCCCTTTAACTTAAAATCTGTTTGTGCCACCTTTAGCAGCAAGAACTGCAAACAAACTTTTCTGATAACTACAGATCAGTCTTTTACAGCACAGTGGTGGATATTTATATATAATTGAATTACTGAATTATTGATCTTGCCTTTCATTTACATCTGGAAGAGAATTTCATTGCATTTTATCTACCCTACATATTTGCCGCGCTTGCATCATAGGAGAAAAAATTTAAGAAGTCTGAATGTTTAAAAAGCTCCTGTCTCCTAAAAAGCTCCATCTCCACAGGCCTCTTCCTTTGTGGCTGGTGATGTTGTTCTGGACCACCATGTCAACAATACTGCTGTTCCATTCAAAATAATCTTGATGGTCCACCTGAATGATCTCAAACACAAATTCTGAAAAAAATGTTTGGATATTTACAGTAAATACATTTTATTTATATTTTATTATTATTATTATTTTGCATATTCATTCTTGCTCATTGTATACTTTCCCTTTTATTATTACCCTAAAGCAATTGTGATAAATGTGTAACCAAATAGCTATCAGTTAGGGCCAATTGAAAATATACTATGTTCATTTGATCGAATGACAAATTACCGAGTTTTGTTTGTTGTGTTTGGACAAATAGTACATAAATGTTTGTGATTTGTGTAAAACATTTTTTTCAGATAATTTAAAGTATTGGTTGGTTGTATTAACTATTGTAAAAACATTTGAGAGTTTTGTGCACATTGTTTTGAGAAAATTATTTGCATGATTTGTAATTTGTATAAAATGAATGAAAATGTACAATCTGTTTAGGACAATTACAAAGTATTCAGATCACTGTGTTAACTGTTTTGAGAAGAGTGGCCTGAATTTGGAGACATGAGTTAAATCGATTGAGAAAAACTTTAATTAGTGTATTTAGTGTATAACTTTTAAAATTTTATATAGCACAAAAAATAAGAATGTACTAGACATGCACTTGCTTGTATTTAAGTATTTTTAGTGCATTCAAGTACACTTTATTTTTACCTGGGGTACCAAAACTCAAGTTTAACAGTAAGCATACTTTTAGCATAAAGTACTTGAAGTGCTATATTTTTAATGTAGAAAAAAAGTGCTATTAATGACATAGTAATAGTGTACTTGATTGTACTATTTAAAGACACCAAAAACATTTAGGTAAGTATATTATATGAAAGGAGTGTTAACATAATTACAATACATTTGAAATGAAGGATTTAATCTATAAAAATATGTGGGCAATACACTATAAATTTTGTATATATTCATCATATATTAATCTTATATTTTAAATAATTAATAATTGTATTTTCTATGTATGATGAGTATATTTACTGTAAATCTCAGGTGTCCCCAGAATGTGTCTGTGAAGTTTCAGCTAAAAATACCCCACAGATCATTTATTATTTAATTTTGAAAATGCCTATTTTGAGTGGAAGCAGTGCATGTCTTTTTAAATGCAAATGAGCTGCTGCTACCTGCCTCCCTTTTCCAGAATAAAGCAGTTTGTGCCTTTACAGCTTGTGCCTCAGATACTCTGCCAAAAAACATCTGTCTGTTTTTTTGTCTGGTGTATATCATGCTGGAATCATACCTTTTAAAGCCATATCAGTTTAAACTTCTGATATACGGTTTTCTAAGTACACACACCGAAGCACGTGCACAGAAAGCGGCTATCACACAGCATGTAAGTACTAAACTAAGTTTTTAAGTTTAAGCACTTAAACTGTTAAATAAATACACATAAGTTTATATTAAAAACACACAAGTTTGAGTGGCAGCAGCTTAAATATACAGTAAATAAATAAAAAACATCCACTGCTCTCGTCTCCTCTGAGGCTGGGACTCTAAATAGTGTTCTGTGCTCATCTTTCTTTGCTCATCTTTGCAGCCAATGACAGAACAGTTAGCATGCTTTGCTCGAACTTTTGCCATGGTGTTAAAACTGGTACACCGTTGCCGCTTGCAAAAACAGAATGGCGGTGCAGGAAACTTGCAGATTAAGGACCAGTAATATTATAATAAGATCCCCTACCTACGTCACAGGCAAGGGCATAAATTCCATCTAACATTAGGGGAGACAATAAACTAAATAAATACCTCAAGAGCAATTTTTGAAGGGGACATAAATAATACAGCCAAAATTGTACTTGTAAGGATAGATATGTGTACAAAGCATGTGTACATAGCATGGAGATAGTTTTTTAAATATGAGTTCGGTTCATAGGTTCACCACACGGTCATGTTTACTAAATTATTTTGCGTCCTACACATAGTATTTTAGGTTTTGTATGGGACTGAGGATATCTCGTATTTAGATATTCAACTGCAGCAAGTCCACTGATCTGCCACTTAACATCATATTGAGCAAAACCCAACACATCGGTAGGGCTGCAATATTAACCTAATATCACTTCACACAGGCTTATCGCCATGTTATTTGTAGTGGGTGACTTACTATCCAACAAGTATTAAACAACCTAAGCTAACCTTATAAATCACTCGTAGAAAAGTACATCGGATATCATCATTTTTTGACATGACTAATTTATTGTTTTTTTCACATGCTTGCAGAGAAAGGCTTACCAAACAAAGTTACTTAAACACAGAAAGTCAGATTTTCATGATATGTCCCTTTTAAGTATTTTACTCATACTGAAAGTAGGCTCAAAGATGCACTAGTCCTTAACACCTAAGAGACATGCGAGTGATTTGTGAGGATGTTTATTTTCTATAATCAAAATAAAACTGAACACCTCAAGATTTCAATAAATCAATATCAACACAACTGCCTCTTAATCATCTACAGACAATCAAATCTCATTGAAGCATGACTACTCAAAAAGGGCATTAGTAAACCAATATTCTTTAAGAAAGGTCTCCTCAGTATGACAGATAAATAAAATAATGTTAAGTTAAAAATCAAAGGCTTCTTGCAAAAGACGTGCTGGTTTTGGCCTCATCGCTGGCTGCAGTCATGTCCTTATCTTATATATAATACACCAGCAGCGATTCACAACTACCTGCTAATGCACTCGGATTCACATAAAGAAGCCTTGTTGACAAGTTTGTGTGAGTAAGGGCACAATGCATAAGATATAGTACCTTTAATGCCCTGTAGAAGCCAATATTAATAATAAACTGCTGCAGAAAAAGTTAGGTGCCTGAGCCATTGCATGACTCATTACAAATGTAGATGAGTAAAGAATTCATATACAGTTGAGGTCAAAAGTTTACATACACATTGCAGAATCTACAAAATGTTAATTATTTTACCAAAATAAGAGGGATCATACAAAATGCATGTTATTTTTATTTATTATTTTTGTGTATTTGAACCCTTTCCAACAATGACTGCATGATTTTGAGATTCATCTTTTGACACTGAGGATAACTGAGGGACTATTACAGAAGGGTCAAATGCTCATTGATGCTTCAGAAGGAGAAACGATGCATTAAGAGCAAGGGGGTTTAAAATTGTGTACATAAAAAAATACACAAAAATGCTGAAAAACCAAAGAATTTGTGGGACATGAAGGATTTAAGAAGAAGCTGCTGAAGAACAGCAGGCAGTTTAACTGTTCAGGACAAACAAGGGACCCATGAACAACTATCACTATCTCTTGTGGACTGTTAACGTTAACTTTTATGTGAAGTATCTTATTCAGGTTAGTACTAAATAAAACAATAACATGCATTTTGTATAATCCCTCTTATTTTGGTAAAATAATTAACATTTTGCAGATTCTGCAATGTGTATGTAATCTTTTGATCTCAACTGTACCTATTCAAAAATGTAGTGAAGTAGAGAGTAAAAGTTGCCAATACCTTTGATATTCAGTAAAACTACAAGGTAGCCAAAAATATACTCAAGTACAGTACCTATAGGAGCCATGTAAATATTCATGTGTGATGTCATGTGACTGTGGGAAAATGTGGGAGTGTCATTAATTATTTGAGAGTTAAAACACCTGTTGTGAGTGGGGGTTGTCAGGGAAAGAAGGGGGTGAGTGTGGGAGCACGCATTTTTTTGTTGACCGTATATTCAAACTTTTGCATTGATAATCTGCCGATCCTTCAAGAAATGCATGCCTCAATGTACAAGTTGTCGGTGGATAAAAGAAATCTCAAGACGCAAATTTAAAGGATGATTGACGTGTCACAAGTTATTCCCTCACTCAGCTCCTGCGGCTTTAGTTAGTTTTTAGGCCGCTACAGTACCTAATTACATGTACTCATATACTTTACACCACTGAACCACACAACAACAACAACAACTAAAAATATTAAATTTTTAACCCCTGAAAAAAAAATATCCTGGAGGAGACCATAAATTTATTAGAAATAAATATGGTTGGATTCCACTGTTGCCATTTGGAGTTTTGAAAGCAGTTTAATAAAACAAAGTTTTGATTTTTATAATAAAGGAAGCAATATTTCTTGCTACACAAACAAACACAATCGTGATGGAATATGACAGCAAATGTAATATCCTCACCAGCCAGTCATGGTGAAGTCCCGATACAACATCTTCTTGCCCACCTCCTTTCGTTGCACCCTTCTGGGGAACTCCAAGTGTGTGAACTCTCCTCCTAACAGATGGGGTTGCATGAAACCCTAAAAACAAATACAGACAGAAATAATCATCTAAAGCCCAACAGACATGGCAAACTATACCTACAAAATTATAAAACAATGATGTCAACAAAATCACTATATACATTAAATTTGACATTAACTCATTTGGATTTGATACATTATAAGTGACGGTGAATTCAAAACAATATATGCCTGTGTAAATAAGTGCTTATCTGAGGGGATTAAGAGATACCTGCAACTCTATTTTAAACAAGTACAAAAACATTTTAACAAGTAAAAAAAAAAAAAAATCATCAAGAGGGTCTAGGAACATCTGCCTGATTTAATGTCCGCACGGACAATGCATGTACAACATCACTTGTGAAAGGTGATTGTATGCAAGGACAGTATGCGGAGTTCGTCGTGGAATGCGAATGGCCGAAGTACACTTTGGGCTTTAAAAAAGGAGGTATGCTTTGGGCTTTATAATAATTTAAAGTCTTCTTGTCTGTATTTGAAGAGAAGTGTCTTTTGCTTTGTGCTCGCAAGTTATATTGCCTTAAAATTGTCTTTAACTGTCAACCATGTTATTACTATGTTAATAAATAGTGTATATATAAATAGGATACAATATTATTCTCTGTTGCCAAAGAAGTATGATCCCTTTCAGAATTGATAGCTACAGTCAATTAATCACTGGACAATTTAGCAGGTCAGTCATAAAACACTGGTTCTGTCAAAATTCCCTGTAAGTTTGAACTCTTTTAAATTGAAAGGTTGAAAAGTTTTTGCCTGGCTGCGCCATACACTATGCATCCATTGTCAGGGTTCTGTCACTTCAGTCTAGATTATTTGTAGTTTTGTGACAGAGCCCTGCACGGGCGTGGCCATCATTTCAGAAATGAGGGGGACAGAAGTGTTAATTATTATGATTTGTTTATATACAGTATATATTCCAATTTTTATCACAGAATAAGGCAGAATAGTTACTATACTGTAATAAATGCTATGTCAAATAGCATTGCATTATTCATATACTTTATTACCTGGAGATGACACACAATCGAGATGAACACACAATCGTGTGTTAAATGTCTTCACGTTTTATCAGTCCAAATGTTTCAGATTTTTATGCCCCCCACAACTTCTACGCCCATGAAGCCCTGACACTCCTGTCATGTCTTGTTTTCATATCATCTCGTCTGCAAGCCCTGTTTCTTTTTTGGCTTTTGTTTTATTTGCTTCTGTGTGCCATGTGCTCTCATGTCTATTGTCTTGACCATGCCCATCTTGTTGCCTGATTATTAGGGCCCAAGCACCGATGGTGCATGGACCTTATTGGAATTGCTCAGTTTCTTCTTCTTCTTCTTCTCCAAAATCTGTCGCATTTTTGAGGGCCTAAACATGCTTGAAAACTCATGAAACTTTGCACACGTGCCAGAAGTGGCGAAAATTTACATTTGATATGGGTTTCAGAAGTGGGTGTGGAAAATGGCTCAATAGCACCACCTATACAATTTTAATACAGGGCCCCTCAAGCTATGTTTCACATACACGTACAAAATTCGGTAGATACATGCAACACACCAATATCTACAAAAGTGTCCCCCAGTACGACGTATGAAGCCCGACAGGAAGTCTGTTATTTTTTTCTAGGCAAGTTTTGTGCAGTTTTTGCCATTTTCAGGCGTTGTATTTAAACAAACTCCTTCAACAGATCAACACCAAATTTGGTCAGTGTAATCTAAAGCCCTTTATGACATTAAATTGCAAAGATCTTGAGTTTTCATTGAAGGGGATGTCTGTGGTGGCCTGACAAACTTAGATGTTTCGCCATGAAACAGGAAGTTGTTAAAATTCAGGCAGACATGTCCGATCTGCCCCAAACTTCACATGCTTCATAAGAGTCCTGTCCTGAACATATGCCCATGCCCATATTCAGTTACAGTCATAGCGCCACCTGTTAGCAACAGGAAGTGGCATGCTTTATGCTCTAATGAACTCCTCCTAGAGATTTAATGACATCGACATTATGTTTGGTTAGTCTACTCTACTCTAAAGGCCTTTGCAATGTCAGAATCCAAAGATCTTGATTTTTCGTTAAAGAGTGTGTCCTTGGCAACCTGACAAAGTTCCATGTTTCGTCATGGAAAAGGAAGTTGTTGTAAGGAAGTTGTTGTAAAATGTCCGATCTGCCCCAAACTTCACTTCACGATAAGTGTCCTGGCCTGAACACATCTAAAGGCCAATATACAGTTATAGTCATAGTGCCACCTGTTGGCAACAGGATATGTCATGTTTTACACTAACTCAAACATACCATGTTCAATCTGCACCAAACTTCATATGTTTGATCTGTCCTGGCTTGAAGACTTCTACATGCCAATATTCAGTTATAGTCATAGCGCCACCAGCTTGCAGCAGAAAGTTTGGCACATATAAATCACTTTGACATATTCCTCCTATATTTACCACTTTAAATGCATATTGCTGACCGTTTGCTGTTTTCCTAAAGCCGTGGCAGTGAGCCCGGGTGTGAGGGCCCTTTCAACTTTGCTTGCAGCTTTAATTGTTGCCCCACCTGTTGTCCTTCGTTACCCTCCATGTTTGCTTCCTGTTTATTCTCCTTGTGTTTGCAGTCTTGTGCCAGAACATCATTGAATGTGCCCTTGTTGGTTCCTATCTTGTCCCGCCCTTCCTGATCCTGCCTCGCCTTGCCTTGCTGTGCCCTGTCCTGGCCTGTCTGCCTTGTTTCCCTTGGGGTAGTTTTTGTTTTGTTTTATTATTATTAAAGAGTCCAGACTTCCTGCAAGTGAGTCCATTCAACCAACCCTGACATCCATAGTTCAGAGTGGCATTCATTCATAGAGTCAGAGCATCAGCATTCTGTAAAGGAGTTGAACTTTCTACTTCCCACTTAGTATTAGTAAACCATTTAAAAGGTCAAGGGCTTTAACACTTTTTATAATATCTTTTAAAATATTTATGAGAGGCATAAGACAATTTATAATCATAAAAAGATTAATATAATAACAATAATAATATTATAAGATTATGTCAAAGAATTTGGTTTCCTTGACATAGAGTGTAAATAGTTAAAAGATAAAAGAGCAAAAGATATTGCAACTTACAAGGAACTGAAGTCTTTGTCTCTCTGACTCAGGGGTAAACTCTGTGGACATAGGAATTATCTCTCCATTTCTAATTATAATGGCTCTGAGGAATAAAACACACACACACACACGCATATATGTACATATAAGAAAATGATCAAATCTGTATAAATGTGCATAAATGTTTCATACGAGGGCTGTCGGGAAAGTATCTAGCCATGGAATATGAAAAATAGACATTTATCAAAGAAGATACAAGAGATATTGTACACAGGACAATAACACTTCAGACACCTTCAAAGTAGACATCTTGGGACCTCACACAGTTCTCCCAGCATCTCTTCCACTGTTCAAAACACTCTGCAAAATCCTTTGTTGGAATCGGCAACAGCGGCCTCGTTATATTTTCCTGAATCCCATCGAAGGTCTGAAATGTCTTCCCTTTCAAAGGTGATTTTAGTTTTGAGAAAAGCCAGAAATTGCAGGGTGCTAAATCTGGGCTGTTACCTGGGTGATTTGATGTTTCACCAAAAAACTGTGCATGAGATGTGATGCATGGGTGGGCGCATTGTCGTGATGAAGCTGCCAATCACAGGGTTGCCAACTTTTAAATTCAGTTTGGAGCTGCCGGCTCCAGGAATGGGCAGAGGTGGGCTAAACCCAGGGCTGGATTGGTAATCGGGCATACCGGGCGTTTTCCCGGTGGTACGACGCACTTAAGGGGCCGACAGAAGTTTTTGTTTGTTTGTTTGTTTGTTTTTGCCGAGGACCATCACGCACGACAGCGAGCAGCCAGAGGCCCATTGGTTTGTCTCCTGTATTGACAGCGTAAACATCCAATCACAATGCGCTATAGACAAAGCGATGAAGTATTTTGCTCCGCCTATATAAAGATCGCTTCACCCCAACTTCTTCCTCGTCGGCTTTTCCCACGTTTTCGTGCCCCCTCAGATTTCTGAGCCAAATGGATTTCAAATGCAGCTTCCAAAAGACAAAAAATAGCCGAATAATTTTTTTTTATATGTGATACAATCACACCGGTGTGATTAGATCGTTTAGTGCGGCACAGCATCAGCTGCTATGCAAATCGGCATTCGCGCTTTGGCTGGCACTGAGCCAGAGACAGAAGCGTTTGTACAGCGCTGCATTATAACCAATCACACACGAGTCTGTTGAGCTTATGAATGCAATGGGTAATCAGAGACGTTCCGATGAGTCATCGCTGAAACGCGGTGTTTTGTTCACTTGCTCGCTGACTGTGCAGATGTGCATACGAATGTAAGATATTCATTTCACAGTGTAAACAGCTTCAGTGATTTAAATGGGAGTTTTTGAGAGTGCCTGAACTCTGGCTAGACTGAAGTGAAAATGTTCTTTGATAATTTAAATGTTCTTTGCTCTCTATAAAATGAAAATGTTATAGCCTAAGATAGTAGCCTAACTTACAATATTGTTATCAAATTCACATTAAATACAAAGTCAGTCGTGTTAAAAATATTTTATGGCATGACACCCATATCTGGTTGGCCTATTTAAGTAAAAAGTCTGGGTTTTATGTGTAGTTAATAGATTACACTGTTACTCTACTTTGTCACCCACAAATAACAATCTGGTACAAAAACGCATTTACTTACACATGTTTGAGAATCGAGATATTTCCTGATACACTTTTGGAAATATTTCGAATAAAAAGGAAAAAATAAAAATAAAACATGATATTACGGGGAATTTGTGAGTTACGGGGAGTTTAATAGGCTACATGAATATGTATCATAGCCAACCACTGAAATTATCTGAGTGGTTTTAATGTTTTAAAAAACCCGCTCATAATAGCCTAACGTGCATGGACGGGGCAAGAGCATACTTATAAGCATCTAAAATGCATGTAGACTATACAGTTCAGTTGAAAGCTTACCCCTTTTGGATTGCTGTTAATGCTTAATGTAAGAATGAAAACTGAAAGTAAAGAGTTTGTGCAGTGAAAGTTGCGTTCGTTTCAACAAGCATCTCTTCCACTGTTCAAAACACTCTGCAAAATCCTTTGTTGGAATCGGCAACAGCGGCCTCGTTATATTTTCCTGAATCCCATCGAAGGTCTGAAATGTCTTCCCTTTCAAAGGTGATTTTAGTTTTGAGAAAAGCCAGAAATTGCAGGGTGCTAAATCTGGGCTGTTATCTGGGTGATTTGATGTTTCACCAAAAAACTGTGCATGAGATGTGATGCATGGGTGGGCGCATTGTCGTGATGAAGCTGCCAATCACAGGGTTGCCAACTTTTAAGTTCAGTTTGGAGGCTAGACTGAAGTGAAAATGTTCTTTGATAATTTAAATGTTCTTTGCTCTCTATAAAATGAAAATGTTATAGCCTAAGATAGTAGCCTAACTTACAATATTGTTATCAAATTCACATTAAATACAAAGTCAGTCGTGTTAAAAATATTTTATGGCATGACACCCATATCTGGTTGGCCTATTTAAGTAAAAAGTCTGGGTTTTATGTGTAGTTAATAGATTACACTGTTACTCTACTTTGTCACCCACAAATAACAATCTGGTACAAAAACGCATTTACTTACACATGTTTGAGAATCGAGATATTTCCTGATACACTTTTGGAAATATTTCGAATAAAAAGGAAAAAATAAAAATAAAACATAAGCCTATATCAGTTATACAGTATACAGTTCAGTTGAAAGCTTACCCCTTTTGGATTGCTGTTAATGCTTAATGTAAGAATGAAAACTGAAAGTAAAGAGTTTGTGCAGTGAAAGTTGCGTTCGTTTCAACAGGCTCGACTGTATAAGAAACGTAGCGTTCCCCGACATAAACGACCAGCAATATCCAGTGATGCAAACTATTCAACCTTTTTTTTGTCAAATTCCACGGTTTTGAATGGAAAGTAGGTCTGCCATTTACATGATACATCATGTAATTTATAATTGATTATGACAATAGCATTGTTCTGTTTTGCGTTTTCAACAATACAACTGAAATTGAATAGGTGCATATTTTAAAATAAAAATATTATTTGCAGTTCACAGCATTTTTCTTTTATTAGCTGAATGCAATGTGCGCTGAATTCACGCGGAGCTTCAGTCTGTTGCAGAAAAGCAGCAGAGGCTGACAACGAGCGAAAACGGGCACAAATATTTGTGCGCTATTACGGGGAATTTGTGAGTTACGGGGAGTTTAATAGGCTACATGAATATGTATCATAGCCAACCACTGAAATTATCTGAGTGGTTTTAATGTTTTAAAAAACCCGCTCATAATAGCCTAACGTGCATGGACGGGGCAAGAGCATACTTATAAGCATCTAAAATGCATGTAGACTATACAGTTCAGTTGAAAGCTTACCCCTTTTGGATTGCTGTTAATGCTTAATGTAAGAATGAAAACTGAAAGTAAAGAGTTTGTGCAGTGAAAGTTGCGTTCGTTTCAACAGGCTCGACTGTATAAGAAACGTAGCGTTCCCCGACATAAACGACCAGCAATATCCAGTGATGCAAACTATTCAACCTTTTTTTTGTCAAATTCCACGGTTTTGAATGGAAAGTAGGTCTGCCATTTACATGATACATCATGTAATTTATAATTGATTATGACAATAGCATTGTTCTGTTTTGCGTTTTCAACAATACAACTGAAATTGAATAGGTGCATATTTTAAAATAAAAATATTATTTGCAGTTCAGATTGATTACTTTACAAAAATTCTTATTCTTGTTCTTTTACTGTTTTTTTTTTTTAATTCCCCTAAATCCATTTAAAGCCTTTATTTATTTAGTTTCTTTAAATAAATACTATTACCATGGTGGCCTGGTCTTTATATTTTCCTAAAAAAATTGAATGCAGTTTGAATTGAATGCAGTTGAATGCCTTTTAAATTTCTCATTTAAAAATATAGTGTTTAATCATGTTTAAATATTTATTCAAATGAAGAACTTAAAAATAAGTAAGCAGGTATGACCTGCAATATTCTAGATATATTTAGTAAAGAGCCATACGGGTAAACCATGGCATTACAAATGAAAATGCTTTTTTTCTGACCACAAAATGACTCTAATTTGCCTCTTTGCTTAGGAATTTAAAACCCTTTTCTCTATTTTAACCTTAAATACTACACTAATTGTAATATGAGTAATAGAAATATTAGAAAAAAATATTTTAAGTCATTAATGGACCATAATTATTGCACAAATAGTACTTAGTACCAAATTCCCCGACATAAACGACCAGCAATATCCAGTGATGCAAACTATTCAACCTTTTTTTTGTCAAATTCCACGGTTTTGAATGGAAAGTAGGTCTGCCATTTTATTGAATGCAGTTTGAATTGAATGCAGTTGAATGCCTTTTAAATTTCTCATTTAAAAATATAGTGTTTAATCATGTTTAAATATTTATTCAAATGAAGAACTTAAAAATAAGTAAGCAGGTATGACCTGCAATATTCTAGATATATTTAGTAAAGAGCCATACGGGTAAACCATGGCATTACAAATGAAAATGCTTTTTTTCTGACCACAAAATGACTCTAATTTGCCTCTTTGCTTAGGAATTTAAAACCCTTTTCTCTATTTTAACCTTAAATACTACACTAATTGTAATATGAGTAATAGAAATATTAGAAAAAAATATTTTAAGTCATTAATGGACCATAATTATTGCACAAATAGTACTTAGTACCAAAATATCTCCTCAAAATATTAAATAAATATTATTGAACTAAAATATACACTTATTTAATTGAAAAATAGTTAAGTTGTATGGTCACATTATAAGTAAGCAATAATTGAGGGTTAAAAAAAAAACAGAATAAAGATGATACTGTAAATGTCATCGACGTAATAAACAATGCATAATATGCTGTAATGTTTACCAAAACAATTGCTGCAAATGTGACGTGACATGTGACATGTGGCCAAGCATGGTGACCCATACTCGGAATTAGTGCTCTGCATTTACCCACCAAAAAATGCCAGGGCCGATTTTTTGTCCCAGTCCAGCCCTGGCTAAGCCCACCCAAATGACAGTCTTGCCCAGCCAATCAGAATTAGATAAAGACTGCGTACATTTTTTTATGCAGTGATCAAAATCAATCTGAAGTGGACTGTATTTTAAGAAATTTAAGATATAGTTGTAGACTGCCCCAACAATAATAAAATAACACCAGAAAATTGCAGCATTTTTCTTTTATTAGCTGAATGCAATGTGCGCTGAATTCACGCGGAGCTTCAGTCTGTTGCAGAAAAGCAGCAGAGGCTGACAACGAGCGAAAACGGGCACAAATATTTGTGCGCTATTACGGGGAATTTGTGAGTTACGGGGAGTTTAATAGGCTACATGAAAGCAGTTGGGGGTTTGGTGCCTTGCTCAAGGGCACCTCAGTCGTGGTATTGAAGGTGGGAGAGAGCGCTGTACATTCACTTTTGGGTTATGAGTACATTCACCTTTGGGTTATGAGTCCGACTCTCTAACCATTAGGCCACAACTTCCCTGTACATTATACAAATACCTGTATAATGAAGCTGTCGTCTATCCTACATAAGCCCATTCAAATGTATTGTCAACGCTGGTTTGTTTGGAGAGCTCTATGGATCACGTGACCGCGTGGCGGTGCCGGCGAGATCAAAGCTTGTCGCAACTCTGTTTTTCAATAGCTCTGGCTTTAAATTAGACATATTATGCCCCTTGTTACAATATATAATATAAGTCTCTGGTGTCCCCAGAATGTGTCTGTGAAGTTTCAACATCGTACACCCCTAAGCTGGAGACTGCCCCAACAATTATAAAATAACACCAGAAAATTGCAGAATTTTTCTTTTATTAGCTGAATGCAAGGCGTGCTGAAGGCGGCTTCAGTCTGTTGCAGAAAAGCAGAGGCTGACAATGAGCGAAAAATGGGCAGAAATATTTGCACGCTATTACGGGGAATTTGTGAGTTACGGGGAGTTTAATAGGCTACATGAATATGTATCATAGCCAACCACTGAAATTATCTGAGTGGTTTTAATGTTTTAAAAAACCCGCTCATAATAGCCTAACGTGCATGGACGGGGCAAGAGCATACTTATAAGCATCTAAAATGCATGTAGACTATACAGTTCAGTTGAAAGCTTACCCCTGCGGAAGCAGAAACACGCTGTTTTTCAGGCCTGTCTCTTTAAATGCAAATGAGCTGCTGCTCCCCGCCCCCTTTTCCAGAATAGAGCTGCGCCTTTACAGGTCGGACCTGCTAAAACATCTGTTTTTGTTTTGATTATCATGTTTATCGTGCTGAAATCATGCGTTTTAACCATACGAGTAAATTTCTGCTATACGTTTTCTGAGTGCACATATCCGAAGCACATGGACAGAAAGCGGCCACCACACAGCATGTGAGTACTAAACTAATTTCTCATTCACACACAAGTTTAAATTAAAAACACACACGAGTAACAAAAACAGTCGGTTATGTCTGTGAAGGTAAACTGTTGGGAAATAAATCGCAGGTTTATTTTAGATCTGTGTGGCAGCAGCAATATACAGTAAATAAATCAATAAATTCACGGCTTTCTTGTCTCCTCTGAGGCTGGGACTGTAAATAGTGTTCTGTGCTCGTCTGTGTAGCCAAAGACAGAACAGTTAGCATGTTTTGCTCAAACTTTCTCCATGGCATTAGAACTGGAACACCATTTGTCGCTTGCAAAAACACAGTGACGGCGCTGTGGGTGTATTACATTTACAGATTAAGGGGCAGTAATACTAGAATGAGATCCCTTTGCCACATCACCAAGGGAGCGAAATCAGATGCGCTCGTTTTCTCAGACGCTTAGAGAAAAAGGCTTACCAAAACAAAGCTACTGGGTTAATCTTTTTCATGATATGTCACCTTCATTTTACAACTTACGCCACATTAAGTGCGCCAAAAAGGTATTTTTTGTTTGAATTTGGTATTAAAACTTACAGAATTTGAAAGCTGATACTTTGTTTCACATTGCAAGCATGGTTGCCAATTTGGCATGAGATTTACATGGGCAGAGTGACAGCGTAGACTGAGCCAGGAAGCATGTGTCTCACGTGAATGCCTGAAAATTGGCAACCCTGCAATCACCAGCTGCTCATAGCTGCGGCTGTTTTCACTGTAGGCTATTACATCTCATATTTTTCATATTACATGGGTGGATACTTTCCAGACAGTCCTTATATATAGCCCTATATATCTTACCTGCTGTCTCCAGCATTAGCAACATACAGCTTTCCCAGCAGGAAGACCACTACAAGCACAGTGCAGCCACCAGAGATATTGTATATAGCCTTCTCTGTCTCGATTTGGGCATCCTGAAATAAACACAGATGCATAGAGACATGGAGATGAAGTAAAGAAAACTATTTGACAAAACTATTATAAAATATCTAATATATGCACACATGTGGCCACACATCAACTGAACTCTATATTAAAGCATCAAAAATACAGTATACATTTAATAAGAAATGTTATGTTGCAAAACATTTTAATGCTATTTTTGTAATTACTATTAGCAGGAAATTAAAATATTTACTGAACAATGTTGTCTTTTACCATATTGTTTTTGCTATAAGCAAGAAGAGACATGAGATCAGGCTTACAGTGATTTTCCCATGGTTGAGGTGTATTTAGTTCTCTAGCTAGTAATAGTACACTATGCTGCCATCTATGTGGTTCTTTTGTGGTTCAGTTTTATGTAAATTACACTGATACCTGTGAGTGAGATTAGTCTATACAAGAGGTCTAATTTTTCCACTTTGTTTATGTGGTACCACTTTTTTTGTTAGTTGTATTATTTTATTTTTACCTTTGGCAAACTATTTATTTATTATTTTACCTTTGATTGTGATATGTCATGTTGCTGATGACAATAACTTTTCAACTCTTCAGTAAGAGACAAAGGCTTTCAAGAACTTTAAAGTTCAAGTTTGTTTCGGACAAGATCAAGTGATGACACATAAGTTAGTTTTGTCCATCCATTTCTATAAATTTAACTTACTGTAACAAGCATCACAATGACAGGGTTATGAGCCAGTCACAGCTAGGTAGAGGCACTGCCTCTTCACATGCGACTTTTCATCTATATCTGGCTGTTTCTCCCTCACATTAACTACACACAATTTTTTTTCTCATCCAAATTGTATCTAGGAAGCACTCTTTGCCCGTTTGTTCTTTTAGGAAAACATTACTGTAATATGGTTTAAAAGTTAAGCATTAAAGTAAATCCAAATTTCAATACAATATATATTTAAAAATTTTATTATATATGTAATAACTTACATTTTAAATATTTACATTTTATACAGCTGTTTCAAACTCCTTTCTGTTGAAAAGTGTAACTCAAACCAAACTCAAACCACATCCTGTACTTTTGTGGAAACTACACAGAACTGGACCTCACCATTTCCTTGAAGGCATTCTCCAAGGCACCAATCACAAGGCTTTCATGTTGGACCTTCTTCTCCACAAAGAACCGTGTTGGAGGGGTGCACGGAGAGCCAGGGGCACCAGTGGCACCGCGTAGGGAAGCAGCCCGGGTGAGAGCCCTTTGTGTGCCTGGGGATGGATGGTAGTTGGGTTCTTCACCCAATACAGTTGGGGGAAGAGACGCCAAGTTAGTCAGGACCTCCAGAACACCTTGGAGCTGCTCCACAATATGTTGGTGTAGCAGTCTGGAAGCCACCACTGCCGCTCCTGAGCCAGCGTGACCATCAAACAGAGCCCAGTAATGGAAGACCAGCCCTTCTGAGTCTTGTGGAAAAATACAATCCTAGATATTACAACAGAGCAAACAGCAGCTGCTTAGCAATTTCCCCGCAATTTGTGGTTTATAGTTATTTTAGAACAGCTAAGGGACATTGTTAGGCATGACGTGGATGGGGGGCCTACAACCCCTTTTGCTATTCTAAATCACATTAAACCAGAGTTTCATGGGGTTTACTTATTAAAATGGTTACATCATACACTTTGCAAAATAGGTTGACAGATGTGTGTTTATAGAGTATTTCACGACAACTGTAAACAACTGGATCTATTCATTTTTATAAAAGCCTTTTTCAATTGCAGGAACTTTCTAAAAAAAATCCTCTGGACATTGCATTTTTTGCATTATAATTAGGCAATTATATTCTGATTATTTGTTTTATGACCAGCACATACACGTTCCAAAACATATCAATCTTAATAATGTTTTCATTATACATGCTGTTTTCATGATACACTCTGCACCTTGGAAAAATTATTAGAAAATATGAGATTAGTTTCCATTGTTATGTTGAAGATGCTATATATTTCTTCTAAAAATGTCTAATACATCCAAGTTAACAGAGCATGTTTACGACATTAAATACTGGATGAGCGGTATTAAATTCTGATAAAATAAAGATATTATTCATTGGACCAAAATGCTGTACACATAAGTTTTGCATTAAGGTTGTATTTTTACTTCTTCCTTTACAGTTAAAGACCTAAGTGTCATAGACAGCAACTAGTCTTTTGAAAATCAAAACATTGCCAAGTTATGGAAAAAGTTACCTGTTTCAGATGCAGAAAGGCTAGTTCATGCATTCATATTCTCAAGACTGGATTATTGTAATGCGCTACTAGGTGGTGTCCTGCATCTTCAATGAATAAGCACAGTTCTGGTTTATTGAACTCTTCTGAAAGCATTTACAACATTTTTGCTATAACATGATGAGATTAACTAATCATGAAAATGGTTGATTATAACATTATATTTAGATAAACTCCCATTACATGAAAGGTTGTAGACTACTGCTGATCACAGCCATGCCTGTTTAGCACACAAATCTTGTCACTGCAGCCTGACTTCCTCATTCTCATGAATGCTTTTATCATAACTAACACAATGCAAACATAATGTAAATAGGAGACTCATTGTGCAGTGTAGACAATGTCAATGATTATAACTAGAGTTTTGACAAGATTTTAGTACTCAGTCACTGATAAACTTGTGACTGACAGCTCAAGTGATTATAAAGATTTCAGTATATAATTTAATTTAAACTTAAATAACATAATTTCCAAGCTACATAGAGGAAGTGTGAGGTTGACCATTTATAATCACTGGCTTGATTTAATGATGCATAAACAGCAATAAACAATTTTGCGACAAAGAATATTTGACTGTACACGAGTCCTTGCATATTAAAAAGCACTGTTCACAAATCAGCCATTAGTATTAACATGGTTATTTACAGTCACATTTCTCATGTGTTCCCTAGGATTCCCACACTTAAGTTTTTTCAACTATTTTGTTTTGCATTCGGTTCGAAAAATGTCCATGTTCTCATATTCTGTGTTTATGTGTTTGTATTAGTTCCCATACTAATTATGTTCACTTGGGTCTTATTCAGGAGGCATAGATCTGTGCAAGCAGTGTTTCACCGATGTATTCATCTCTATTATGTTAATAAAAATGCAGAAGTAGAAAGCTATTAAAATACGTTTTGGCAGATTGGTCTCAGTAAATGTTTGTGGATAATTCAATAAATGTTTTTGGACTAACAATGAAATTTAAGTTATGAAACTTAGTTGATTTTAATAGTAGAATTACTTTTTATTTGTTAATTTCTTGACCATGTACATTTTTTTAAAATCACTATAACCCCTTTAGTAATAAAATATCATAATTTGTTTATAATTAAGCTAATTCAGCAATCCTTATGGAATATATATATAAACAAATGAATGAAGCACCAATGTAAAAGAGCTCTAAAAAGGTCTTTTAAACATTTATTCTTAAGTCTTAGTATTAAGTTACAACAAATTCTATAAAATATTTTTATCTGAACCTAAACAAACATTTAATTTTATAGCATACAAACTACAAAAAATGTTGGCCACTGTTGTCTGATGTCTTACTGAATTACAACAATCATCATAATTTGTTTATAATTAAGCTAATTCAGCAATCCTTATGGAATATATATATATAAACAAATGAATGAAGCACCAATGTAAAAGAGCTCTAAAAAGGTCTTTTAAACATTTATTCTTAAGTCTTAGTATTAAGTTACAACAAATTCTATAAAATATTTTTATCTGAACCTAAACAAACATTTAATTTTATAGCATACAAACTAAAAAAAATCCAAATGAATAGTGGTGAAAATAGTATTGAGACATCAGGTGCACATCTTCTTTGTTGCATGCATTATGATACACTAACACAAACAAAAACATTTGTATTAACAAACATGTCTCTAATTGCACAAATCACTGCACATACACTTAATTTTGAAATTTGCAGATAAGGCATAAAAGGTAAGACACATTTGCAACATTTAGACATTAAACATTTATTTACATTTATTTTAAAATGTGTATAAGTAGTATTTATAAAGTTTTAGCTTTTAGTTTTGGATCTGTTTTTAGTTGTTTTAATACTACAATTGATTGCTTCTGTTGTCCTCATTTGTAAATCGCTTTGGATAAAAGCATCTGCTAAATTACTAAATAAATAAATACATTTATCAAGTTTATGGATAATTAGGCATGTATTGTTTTTAATTTTGAGACTCTAATTTCATCCAGTAGCAGGGGTAAGCTGACTAGGTACATGCATTCTCAGAAAAAAAAAGATACAAAAGCTGTCACTGAGGCACAACTAATATGTAAAATTGAGTTACTAATATGTAAATTTTAAGTACTAATTGTCACGCTTACGTGCTGGAATTAAGACAGAAGAGCATACACGTTGAAGATAATCTTAATTATTCTTAATAAATCCACAGGGAAAAATGAAGGGAATATCCACACATGAAGGATAACCACATGCAATAACCGACAACTCAAAGAACTAAAGGAAGGGAATTTATACAAACGGAATGTTTTGTACAAATACAAACTAATGACTAATTAACAAGACACAAGTGAAAGGAGGTTAACTACTAAAGTGTAGCGTCTGGACCAATCAGACACACCATTTTTCATTTGATTTAACAAATCAATTATTCATTAGATTAACAAATCGTCACAGTCCCCTCACCCAATAAACTGGATGCCAGGATGTCTGCCACCAGGCCCCCCCGGTTACCATGGCAACCCTGACACCAGATACATTTATGACCTCCTGGAATTTAGGTGGAGAAAATCACTGCCTTGTCCATAAGGAAAATCCACAAGGGATGGACTTTTCTTTGCTAATTAATTAATTAATAGGAAAACCTTTCTTTGAATGAACACACATGATCCTTCAGGTCATTGTGTATATTATTGTCATCGTGTATTTTGTCTTTGAGATTGTATACTGTTTTATGCAACATATTAGTGTTCTAAGAATCTTTATTAGTTTGTCTCTAATTTCATCCAGTAGCAGGGGTAAGCTGACTAGGTACATGCATTCTCAGAAAAAAAAAGATACAAAAGCTGTCACTGAGGCACTACTAATATGTAAAATTGAGTTACTAATATGTAAATTTTAAGTACTAATTGTCACGCTTACGTGCTGGAATTAAGACAGAAGAGCATACACGTTGAAGATAATCTTAATTATTCTTAATAAATCCACAGGGAAAAATGAAGGGAATATCCACACACCTTGGAATTTCTGCTTTTCTCATTGGACAAGCCCACCTTGAGAGGCGTGACTCTTCCGAGATCTTAAAGGCCCCGCTCCAGGGACTCGCCCGGGTTTCGGTGGTTCTGTTAGGTTTCGATAAGATGTGAGCTCCAACGCTCCAGAACATCCTAAGTTTGTGCGCCAGGCCTTCGGCCTCGATCATGCAGATTTATGCTACAAGCTTTTGTAGAATTGTACAGTAAGGAAGTTATTTCCCTTAACCAGGAAATTAACGTTCTTAGAATTGACAAGACAGTTGACCCTGAGAGGTCAGCTAAATATCTACAGCGGATCTAAAATATTCATAATTAATTATAACTAGTTATGATTAATTATTCATATTTCCCATGAGCTGATTCGTTACAAAAGACACAATGAGTACAGGAACAGGAACGACCAAATATGGGCACATGAGGGAGAAAAACAGAACCAAATGCCCAATACTGTGACACTAATATATACCCTTAAAATACCGCCCCAGTGACAGCTTTTGTGCTTTTTAAGGCCCTGTGTGGTTCAGTCCCAAAGATATATGGATCTCAATTTGGCTCCAAGAGTAAATTGTTTAATTGTACACATACTGAGTGGTCAAGAACAAAATGTGGGTACACTTTTTAAAGAAGAATGTATGAGAACCAATGATAGAAATGTATCTTGTTTCCCTCTATCAAAACAACTGCATGGAAAAAAAACCTGTCTACATACCATAAATATTATTTTTCCAAAGGTTGCATGCCTTTAACTCAAGAAATATTAAAATAGCTCAATATCATTTTAAATTCTGTTTTTTCAAAACAAATAGTATTGAAAATAGAAATGTATCTTGTTTCACTCTATCAAGACAATTGCATAGAACCTGTCTGAATGCCAAAAATTTCCTTTTTCCAAAGTCTTTGTGTCTGTTACTCAAGAAGCATTAAATATCTCAATATGATTTTAGGTCCTGGTTCTGTCATGGTCACGGTGTGTGGAGGCAGGCAGGATGACGAGGACGACAAGGATCTTTAATGTAGCGACAACAAGGCAGAGACAGACACACACTCAGGGTAACAGTCACAATAACCGACAAACTAGAACACAAGAGACAGGAACAGATATAGGGCAGTTAACGAGGGACAGACAGGTGAGCACAATGAGGTGAATAACTAATAGTTAAACGGGCTAAACCAACACAAGGGGAAGAAACCACAACAAACAGTCCACAGGGGTGTTAGATTACTCCCCCCTCCCGGAAGGTGCGTCCTCGCACCGTAGAAACAGAGGGAGGGGCGGAGGGGGACAAGGCAGTGGATGTGAGATGGTGACAGGGGAAGGCAAAGGGCTGGCAGGCAGAGCAGACAGGTGGAGGTTTCGGCGGAGGACGGACCTCCAGGAGGAGGACGGCTAACAGAGTCCAGGGAGGTGACGATGGAGGCAGGAGCCAGGGAGACGACAGGAGGGAACCAGAGCAGGAGGAGGAGCCAGGTGGGACCCTAGCGGCCCACGGTGGAGCCGAAGGAGGGAGGAGCCATGGAGGAGGAATATCCCCAGTCCAGCCCAGGAAGAGCTCCTGATGTTTCGTTTAGCCCAGAAAGGGCGGCGGAGCAGGTGGAGGAGGAGCCCGAGGCGGAGACGGAGAGCCAACGAGCCAGGGGGATGCCGAGGATCCGGGGGGCCAGGGTGGAGCCGAGGGCTCTGGCGACCAAGGCGGAGGCGGAGGCGGAGACCCAGAGATCCGCAGCGGAGCCGGAGCGACTGAGGACCAAGGTGGAGCTGACGGGAGGAAGGAGCCCAACGGAGCCAGTAGGACAGAGCGACGAGGCGCAGCCAGAGGAGAGGAGTCCAGAGGCGATGCCCGACCAAAGCGGAGCCGGAGGGATGAGGGAGCACGGTGGAGCTGGGTCTACGGACTGAGGCAGAGTCCGGGCCTCGGAGGCGGAGGGAGACACCGACCATGGTGACGCTGGAGGAGGCCGGAGCGGGTGGGAATTTTTGAGGAGCGGGCATTGGAGAGAGCTCTTGGGCTGGAGCCCTTCCTGGGCGGAACTGGGGATCAGGAGCCCTTCCTGGGCTGGACTGGGGATCAGGATCCCTTCCTGGGCTGAACGAAACATCAGGAGCCCTTCCTGGGCTAAACGAAACATCAGGAG